CGCAGGTAGCAGTGCCTGGGGAAGCCACGGGCCGTGAACTTCTTGCCAGGATTGGGGTGCTCGGGGCCCTGGGTGGGAGGGCAATGGTCTGAGCGGGTGGCACAGGGTGGGGGGCACCCACCCCGGTGGGGGCAACGGGTGCAAGTTCCTCACCTGGATGCCAGTGGGGATGTCGTAGACAATCCGGATGGTTTTGGAGTCGGTGTAGCCGGGGAGGGAGTGGGGGATGAGGTGAAACTCCATCTTCCCAGGGGGCTGCGTGCCTGTCTTCTCCCCATAGATGGCCTTGCAGGTGGGGCACTGCAGGCTGCCATCCTGCGTGGGCACCCGGGCGGGCATCAGGGTGGGCACCCACCCCCCGCAGCACCCACCCGCCGCGACGGGTGATCCCCCAGGGTGGCACAGGTCCCAGCTCACCTTGTTGCCGTTGTTGTACATGGCCAGGAGGCAGAGGAGGTGGTACATGTGCCCACACTTGCCCAGCTTGCCCACCAGCTCCGGCTTGATGCCCCTGTGGCTGAGGACGCCCTCGTAGCCAGAGGAGGTGACCAGCCGCTCCATGCAGATGGTGCAGTCCTGATGGGCACACGGTGGTGGGTGCCAGAGCCCAGGTGGGATGAGGAGGTCACCCCCCAGCTCTCTGCCCACCACAGGGGGCTGCCCATCCCCTGCCCGCACCTCTCCCCATGTGCCCAGGGCGAGCCCGTGGGCCAAGCCGTGGTGCCCGGAGGTGCCCGCTCACCTCATCCGGGGGGTTCTTCACTTTCTGGATGTAGCGGCGCACCACGTCCTCGGGGGTCTTGCCTGCCGTGGGCAGAGAGGGTGGGAGAAAAACCCTCTGGCCCCCACCCCCCAGCCAGCCCTGCCACCAGGATGCGGACAGCATGAGGAGGAAGAGGGTGCCAACACTTGGCACAGAGGAGCTTTGAGCATCACCCCAAACCCCTTGGGCAAACCTCACGGGGGGTCCCACCCCCACGGGCGGCGGCAGCACCCGTGCCTCAGTTTCCCCTCTGGCAGTGCCTGGCACGGCCGAGGGCACGCGGCGATGGTGGCAGCTCCTTACTCTTTTTGAGATGCTTCTTTTTGGTTTTCCTGCAGATGCCATTGACACCAGGCACGGGTTTGATGTCACTCTTGCTGACGGGCGGCGGGTGCAGGATGGGTTTGGGGGCGCGGGTCAGGCAGACAGGCAGCCCGGCCGCACACATGAGGATGCCCGTCATCCCTGCG